TTCAGAACAGCAGCTCCATTTCTCCCCACAAACACAATCACATACCAAGAAATAGGTTTTTCCATTCATGATGCCCAAGCAATTTTAAGCATTATAGAAATATAAAGACATAAAATATTTATTCAACTGAAAATATCTCTCCAAAATATGGAGACCTTCTCCTTAATAAGGTTTTGGGACTAGACCAAGTTAGAGAGAAAAAAAAATCACCCATATATCAACCATAAATTGGGAATGCTCATTTTTTTTTCAAAATGAACTGCAAATTGCAGTTTCCAACTGTATCATGCTCACTAACAGCAAGAAGTTAATTTATATTTATAAAGGGAAGCTAGTCCCACAAATTGAACCAGCCAGCTTAACAAGGAATTAGCCATTCCTCCCATCTTTAGAAGTGTAACTTCAGAAATAGGTTCAAAGGCATATACTTTGCTGGCGTTTGAATGCCTTTATCAGAATACTAATGTGTGGACAAGCTGTAAGGCAAACAGATGGGTCAGATTATTATAATTGGCCACCCATTTTTAAAGAGAACATACTTAAGTTGTTTTTAGTGTCTTCATGTTTTTTTACATATTTGTTTCATAGTAACTGCCCTGCATGGTTATCACAGAACACATGAATTTAGACCAGTCTAAAATTTAGCAAGCAAAACTATTACAAAAAGTACCAGGAAAAAATTGACCAAAGTCATCTGGGAGGCAAAGAATTTATATGCAGGCTCCAAATAAGTATAGTTCATCAACTCCAGGGGAACAGTGCCGTGCAGGAGGCTGTGGTACCATGTCCACACTGCCTGAGTGCTGGTTTCCTGCTTCCGTCACTTCTCAGATGGCACACATATTAAGTATGTTTGGATATCTCGCTACCACATCCTTGTAGACATAGACAATGTCTACTTTGCATGCCTAGTAATTATCCCAGGCACCTACTACAATTGAATACACATTTGCTACTCTTTAAATAGTTGATACCTGAATTAATGATGAATATATGCACATATATAATATAGCTAAGTAAGTGTCAAGAGGCCCGGACAAAGAAGGTGTTTGCTGTTGTTTCTTAACTATTGCATGTGCTGTAGGGGTAAAGACGCCAGCGTTGTGTGAGTCCCTGGGGAGATCTCTCTATGCAGCAGTAGCCTCCCCTTGGCATTTAACCCCCAGAGCAGAAGCTTTGAGAAGATGGCTTCCTAAGACTTTAAGAAGACCTCCTTTCATGCAGGCAGGTCTCCACTGAGGTCTTGGTGATCTACATGAGTTGGGGCCAACTGAGGAGCATGTATGATTTACATCACCTGTTTCCAGAATCAGACTTTCTGAACAAGCCCCTCAGGTGAACAGGACACTGGTACCTTTAGCTTTTGGGTGGCGTCTGCACATGGCTGTGGCTGATGACAGCGCCTCACAGGAGGTGATACTGTAGAAGAATGCTCCATCCGAAATAAAGAACTTCCTGCGCAGAGTTTAAATTTTGCTTCGTGCCTTCCCAATACTGTTTTTAATCGCTGGGAGAACAAAATTGGAATAAAATGCCTATAAGGTAAAAAGGCTTTGATAAAGATTACAGGAGTTGGACTGATATTTTATGTTTTAACAAATAAAGCTTGTCTGAAGATCAGAGCACAGAGGCAAACCATTAGAGGTCAGGCAGTGGTGGCTCACATCTTTAATGCCGGGAGTTGGAAGACAGAGGCAGGGGGATCTCTGTGAGCTCAAGACCACCCTGGGCTACACAAGATTGAATCTGTCTAAAAGAATTAGAGCTCACACAAAGGTGATCCCAGAACTTGGGATCCCACGCCTTTAATCTCAGCACTGGGGAGGTGAAGACAGGAGTGATGTAGCTGGGTGGAGAGAGGAATATAAGGTGGGAGGACCTCCTTGCAGTCTGAGGTTTGGTGGAGACAGTTGCAGTCTGAGAATCGCCCCTGCGGTTAGAGGAGGAAGTCTGAGGAAGACAGTCTGAGGACAGGATGGCCCACTCTGTCTGAGCACTGGCAAAGGTAAAAGGTCTCTCTAGTGGCTAGCCATACTGTTTCTCTGATCTCTCAGCTTTCACCCCCTAATATCTGACTCCGGGTTTTATTATTAAGACCAACTAATTCATGCAACAAGGGTTATATAAATTCAGGATCTTTTCTGAACCTAAATAAATTTTTAAAAGTACTAAATACTTGGGATCATCAATCCAGGAGTAAGTGAAAGCTTTTCTTGTCTCCAGACACAGCTGAGCTTGGGAAGACGTCCAATTATCCAAAACTGGTTGGACTACATCCCTCCAACAAGATACAAAGATCCATGTGAACTCGTCCACCTTTGCAGAATAACCATCAGGACCCAACTGCTGGCCAACAATATGCTTCCAAATGGAATATTTTCACTTCTAATTCCTTCTCGTCTACAAAAGTTCCTGAATTTAGAAAGCTAACATGCATTTTTATGCTGTTCTTTAGGATGGTAGCACTGTACCATTTAGAAGTTAATAAACTATTAACTTCACGCACGTTTGCTGCACTGGATATTCCGTTAGATGTGTTTTTAGAGCTAGAGGGATTCCCCCATGGTTAAGAGCACTGCTCTCTCTTACAAAAGGTCTGAGATCAGTTCCTAGCACCCACATGGTGGCCAGTAACCACCTATAACTCCAGTTCCAGGGGGTCTGATGCCTACATCTGACCTCTGTGGGCACCAGACGTGCATGTGGTATACATATATTCATTCAGACAAAACACATGTACAACATATGATAAACCTTTAAGAAAAGTTTTAAAGAAGATATATTTTTAAATGTCCTAAGTTCAGCACTGTATTACCATATAACTCTACCCATTACTTTCCATACAGTGAAATAAATTATATGCATAAGATTAAAAAGTCTATTTTGGTATAATAACATAAAATTAAAATTTCATCTATAAAAACTTTAAGGTCGTGAAAAAATTCAATATATTCAAAGCACATTTTTAGCTTTAAAAATTACCTAGAGCACTAGATTTTTCTGTGATGTCTAGTTTGTTACACAAAGGCAGACTTAGAAACAATTCCTCGGGTGTCTCTGCTGCTTTCTATGTCCAGAGCAGAGGTGCTCTCCTCTAGATAGCTGTTCAGGACGTCTGTACTGAGGGAAGCCTTAGATGTCACGATAGGGTCTCATCTGAACAGTGTGGATCTGTTCGCTGTGATGAAAGCAAAGGCTACTTCTTCCTCCAGGGCCAAGGTTTTTAAGTTCATTATAAAAGGTAGAAAGTTCCCAAGGTCTCTGGTCGTCCCCGAGACACTGATGTGCTGGCGGTGACAGGCTGGAAACTGAATACACATCTTCACAGAACTCAACAAAATGTTTCCCTGATTGGTAGATCAGTCACCAAATCTGGTTAAACCACAAAAAAAACGTTGGTGTCTCTTAAGCCAATGTTCTCTTCACTGGCCACTTTCTACTCCTCTCCTGCATACGTTGCCTCCTCGTTCTTCAGCCTGGAGCCACCATGGACTCTCCTGACCCTAGAGTCCACAGCTACCTCAGATCAGTTCATTCTACCACTCATGGTCTCAGTGAAATGATAATGGAACCATCTTACAACCTGCATCACCACTACCACAGCCCCCAAACCTCCAACCATAAAAACACCTTCAACATGCACGGTGTTCTTCAGGCAACAGTGACACCAGGCAGTTACTCTTTCTTCGGTCACTCACACGTTCTCCACACACCAGGGACACCAGCCTGCCTCCCATCTCACGCTGCTTTGCTTCTACTTAAAATGCCCTTTCTAAACCCGTCATGTCCCCCTTTACACTCCCTGTGACCAACAAAGGTTATGTACTATGCTATTACCTTAAATGTTGCAGTACAATTATACTGTACCCTGAAGTCTTTAGTGTAAGATATTCTACCTTTTATTCTCCTAGCTTATTACCTGCCTCACAGCAAGTATTTACTGAATTAGATTTGTGTTGTAGCTTTCTATAAAAGAATTTTTTTTTTTTTGCTTGAAGGAGCAAATTTAGAAATGTGCTTTTAGAGAAAGTAGGCTAAAGGAAACACAAAACTAAGGAGAGACAGAAATAAAATATCACACTGGCTAAAGAATGCAACTACCCCCAAAACTTGAAAGAAACTTTACCCTATCCCTAACATAAATGATATCGTTTCTAAATGTCAAATAGAAGACTACCGGAACCAAGAACTAGTAAGGGAAGTGGCACTTCATACAAGGTTGATACAGCTCTGGTAGTAGACCAGTAATTGTATATGAAATCATGATACACTTGATATATGACAGAATTCTTTCCATGTAATCTACATGTGAAAATAACCTAGATGTCATAAAACCCTCTAAAGAAGGCTTATAACTATGCTCAAGATTATTGAAAATGGGGGCTGGAGATGTGGCTCAGCAGTTAACACTGGCTGTTCTTTAAGGACTCAGGCTTGATTCCCAACACCATCTGCCACTCCAGCTTCAGGATTCTGATGTCTTTTTCTGGCCTCCAGGGGCATTGCACACATGTGGAACACAGACACATATTCATGGAAAACAGCCGTACACATAAAATTAAAAAATGAAAAATTTAAAAATGACTTAAACCCAAAACTGCTCAGTAAATAAATGGCTAAACAAGTTACAATTTGCCCCAACGGGCACTTGTCCATCATTTCCAAATGAAAACAGCCGTTCTCACAAGGCTGTGTGCTATCCCAACTGTTGGATATTCGGGAGGAAGCCTCATGAGGAGCTAGGTCTGTGTCCAGCCAGCTGCAGTTGAGACATCGCAAGGCAGTGTCTGGGGACAAGGGGACCCTCTGCTCACCTGACTGTGGTGGCCAGACTCGTCTGTAAGTATGTTGGGATGTGTAATGCTGGGTACCACAGTTACTGTAAATAACACACACTCCCTTTCTTTTCCATCTAGACCTGGATACTGCCTTATGATGTAGCATTTATCTGTGGGACAAATTGCTAGGGTGGAAAAATGGGATGAAACACAATGACCAAAAATAACTTAAGGAAGGGTTTATTTTGGCGTACAGTTCTAGAGAGGCTACATGTCCACAATGGTAGGCAAGGCATGGTCAAAGAGACAGGATGCTGACAGATCACATTCAACCCATACAAGCAGCAAAATGAAGCAGGGCAAGGCTCTAACATGTAAGGCCCAGGCTGTGTCACACTTCTCTAGCAAAGCTCCACAACCTCAACAGTGCCACCAACTAGGGACCACGTGTGCAGTGCATGAGCCTATGGGGGACATTTCTCATTCAAATTGCCACAAGCGGCTTGTCAAGACATTGTGGGCGGTTACAGTGACAGGTTGGACTGTGGGATACTTATCTATACCATAGAAGGAAGCCACAGAAAACAGCAAAGACAGAAGCCTTAAAACCAAGAAGGAACTGTTTCCTGGTATTAGCTGTACCTGTGATATTGTAATGGTCTTCATTTTACGTGCTTTGCGGTATGTTTCTGTCACATGCAAAACAGCTTATGAAAAAGTAATTTTAAGAAAAAATAAAATTTTTATTTAAATATCTACATAAAAATAAAATGGATTGATTAGCTGGCTGAAAGTTTTGTAGCTTTAAATGATGAAAAATTCTTAGCTGTCTAGGGGGTTTAACTGAGGTTAAATAGCCTGGAGCATGTCTGCTATTTCACCCACTGCTGGACCATTACCCCCCTCACCGCCCATTCCCATGCTGCCTCTACTGTCTCCTCTCTGCTAACATCCATCCCTCTTCAGGGCTCCCTTACAAGGCCACTGCAAACCCAGATCATCTGATTTTAGGAAAGTGTACATTGCAAATATTAATTAAAATGCAACTAATGGTAAAGTTCAAACATACTGATACTCTCTTTCAAAGACAGAGAAATAGGAAATATGCAAGTAATTAAACAAGATACTGTACATAACGCATACACAATAGTGGTAATTTACTTCTTCAAAACATCTGCATATCATTTGAATTATGACTTCTTTAATATATCTGGCTATTAGTTTCAATACTGAACCAAGCTTAATGAAGTCAGTATATATAACTAATAAATCCTGTAAAATATCCACATAGTAAAAACTAGAGGAACGCTGGGAAGATGGCTCAGCTGTTCAGAGTGCTTCTTGATATTACAGAGGACCTGAGTTAGATTCCTAGCACCACATGGGAGTTCACAGGCACCTGCTAACTCCAGCTCAAGGGGATCCAATGCCCTCTTCCGGCCTCTGCAGAAGCCACACACATGCGGCACACACTCATACAGACACAAGCACATACACACAAACAGACAGCACAGCATAAGCAGTCTGTGAATAATTCTGCTGGCCAAACCCTTATGAAGATTGCAACTACTAAACCAACGGGTCAATGTGCACTCAAGTTCCAGGTACTTGGTTGTTTAAGAAAAAAGTCTACAGGGCAGATTTGTGAATTATGACTTCAGGAGCAATCACCCACTGAGATGGGATTGTAAAATGAGGTGGTGTTGAAGAGAAGAGCCCTTTCCAGTAAGAAATAAATGACTGGCTGGTTTGCTCTTTTACAAAATAACAGTGACCTTTGAAAGCTGATGTGGTGTGAAAGCCACGTGTCTGAGCAGACACTTACACAGAAGAGTCCCGGTTGTGTATATCTTTCTTGTTTCCTCAGTGTGTATTCCTACATCACTTGCACTGTGCTAGATATTAAAAACAATGTCTGCACACATGCATGTAAACCACGGTGTGGATGTGGAGTTGGCAGATTCTCTCACTTCACCATATGGGTTCCAGGAACTGAACTCAGGTTGTCTGGGTTGGCAGAAGTGCTTTTACCAAATGAATCATCCTGCTGGCCTGAAATAAATAAAATTTAAGAAAAAAATGTTCCCTGGGAATATACAAAGGAGGCAGATCAGTGCTGTCTCTCTGTTGCCTTTTATGTAAAAAGAGAGGTCAAAATAAAAAGCAGAAAGAGCAGTGAGTCACTGAAGACAGTTTTGTCTATACTCTGAACTGTAACTTCTAAGTGTACACTTAATGTGGGGAGGTCACAAATGAAAATGAAAATGAATGCTTTTTCTAACAAAAACTTTCCTTTTACTTAGTGTTGGTGGCACATGCCTTTAATTCCAGCACTTGAGAGGCAGAAGCAGGACCAGTTTGGTCTACAGACAGAGTTCTAAGACAGCCAGGGCTAAACAGAGAAACCCTGTCTTGAAAAACAAAAACAAAAAAGTAAATAAAGTAAAAAGCCAAAAACCTTTCCTTCAAGAGCTGTTACTTTTAAAGGTATTCTAATGAATATCTCCATTTAGGGTGCATAGGTAAAAATTCTGAAGTTTTCTGTAATTTTCAATTAAAATATCAAACTGAGCAACTGCGACACAGACACTGTGTAAGCGGTGAGCTGCTATTCCTCAGTCCCCTCGGGAAGGTCCGCAGCCCTGGTCTGGTCCTCTTCGTACTTCTTCTTGAGATTACTCAGGTACGTCCGCAGCCTGTCTGGTTCCAGTTGGGAGTTTCGAGCGACCTGGACAAGCCTCATGGCAAGATGGTACACAACTCTCCACCTGTCCATCTCTGGGGAGCTCCTTTGATTTTGCTGTTATTGAAACATATGAAATTAAAACAAATGTGTATTGAATTCATGTTTTGGTATATCCTATTTCCTTTCATAGAAATAGGAACTCAAGGCCTCTCTCTTTTTCTCTCTCTCTCTCCCACACACACAAACACACTGTTTTAAAGGTGTGGAGCAACAGCACCGCTTACGGCTACGCAGTAGCCGTAATTTCAAATGTCACCAAAAATAAGATGAGTCCTGAGAAAACCACTTGCCCACAGGATACAAAAACTGTTGGAGCCTAACAGAAAATATTGCCAGCGGAGTACAATACATTTTAAAAATGAACATATATTGAAATATAAAATTATGACTAATTTTTAATCAATTATACTTAAGGATATCAAAAAATAATCAAGACATATCATCTTACTATAGGACTAGAAGATGGACTTGGGAATGGAGCTAGAATTAAACTTATGATTTACATACTGACTAAGCTAGATAAAGATATCAATATTTTTCGCCAGGCGGTGGTGGCGCACGCTTTTAATCCCAGCACTTGGGAGGCAGAGGCAGGTGGATCTTTGTGAGTTCGAGGCCAGCCTGGTCTACAGAGCTAGTTCCAGGACATGCTTCAAGGCTACAGAGAAACCCTGTCTCGAAAAAGACATCAACATTTTCAACACTAACTACTTGGGAAATCTCAGTAAGTTTCCCAGCAGTATTATCTCCTCCACTCTTCCACGCAGATGATTCTCTCTGAAGGTCTGCTTTCCCTTCCTTCCCCACAGTAAAGTGAGTCTATACGGCAGAATCAGATAATCGTATGTTTAATCATCTGTTTGGTACCTTAATTAATTACTCTCATTTATATCAAAGTCACTGTGTATCTGTTCCAGGCACCAAAGCTCGTGTCTGTGTGTCTACTGGGCCTACAAACATGTACACTTGATAAGATAATGGAACTCAAGCAGCTTACAGTCTTCAGAACAAAAGGTCTGTGTGTGTCATGCGATCACGGTAGCTACGAAAAGTTCTGTACGGGACACACAACACTCAGAAAAGGCAAGCTCATTTCCAGCTCGGATGAGGCAAAGCTTATATGAGACGGAGAATGTGGAGCCAATCTTCACTGGTAAAAGTGCCAAGAATGGAGGCTTCTGGGTAGAGAAACAGCTAAAGCAGGCGTAGGAGAGACTTGGAACACAATCAGGGCAACTACAAGCGACAGAAGAGCAAATTATGTGACTCTGGTTGATGCGGGGTAAGGGTAGCATGAACCTTGAACAAACAGAAAGGAGAACCTGAAGCAAAACTGGGCAAAGGGGAAACTCCTGAGTCAGGGTCCCAAGTGACCTTGAAGCAGCATTTTATGAAGTAATTACGAAGACTTTAGAGATTCAACTTCAGCGTGATAGGCAGTGACTGACAGCGTCTGGTTAGGCATAACTATGCACTGGGAGACAAGGCAGAAAGTGTATAGGAAGAGTCAGGACAAGGAATTAGCACATGCCTTAATGAGACATGCTTGTAAGGAAGGAGTCACATATGGCTATGGTGGGGATACTTGGAAGTGAGCAGACAAGAGGTTTCCTTAACAGATGAGAGTTCAAGTTTTGATTTAAAAATAGATGAATATATTAAAGGAGGGTTAGCAAGATGCCTCAACAGGAAAAGCCTGACGGCAACTCAACCCACATCACAGAGAAAACCACTTCTGTTAGCTGTCCTCTGACTACACACACACACACACACACACACACACACACACACACACTCAAACACAGACTGTGGCATATGCCCCCAATGTACCACACACAAATAAATATGATAATTTTAAAAATCATTTTAAAAGATATTAGGGGAAATATGGAGAAAATACACACAGACTCAGTGTCAGCAGAACTGAAAACATAAGCTGTGGGAGAAAGACTACTAACACTCAGATTATACAGAAAGGAGCTGGTGGCAAACACCTTCCAGACACAGAGTGAGGAAGAAAATGCCTTAGAGAAGAAGAGAGAGGGAAGCTGAAAGGCCCAAGAGTCAAACCTTCCAGGAAAATAACCAACAGCTACCAGCACAGAGCAGCGCAGAACATGGTGCAAGGGCCATGGTGTGGGGGCGGGGAGGGTGGAGGCGCACAAGGACAGGTGCATCTGTGATTGTTTGCAACTTAAGAGGAAGTTCAGTAAAGCGTTGATAAGTTTCAGGTCCTGTTCGTCATGGGAGAAGAGAAGACCCTCTCCTGAGGAAGAGGAGGAAAGAGGTAACTGTAAGAAACACTACAAAAGATTTCTATGAAAACGCACTAAGCAAATTGGAAGAGAGGAAACTCAAGTGAAGAAAACATGGAGGCAAAAGAAAAGAAAAGCAACTAAGAGAGTGGGTCTCAGTGGGAAACAAAAGAGGAAAAATGCTACTGAAAAGTATTTGAAATACTGTTTCTCTAGAAAGATGGTATATGGGGAATATGGAGGCACAGCTAAGGGAGGTGCAAGGTGAGTGTAAGAACACTACAGGGCTGTACAGGAATTCCAACAACTCATGAAGATGATAGCAAGGTGGTTTGTTTGTTTCCTTTCAAGACAGGGTTTCTCTGTAGCTTTGGAGCTTGTCCTGGAACTAGCTCTTGTAGACCAGGCTGACCTCGAACTCAGAGATCTGCCTGCCTCAGCCTCCCGAGTGCTGGGATTAAAGACATGCGTCACCACTGCCTGGCAACTGCAAGTTCTTTTAATACACGTCAGTAAATTATCTTCAGCAACTGAGCATCAAACGCTCAGAACAAATGGAAATGTCTTGAAAAAGCTACCTAAGAAAGTCAGGTCAGTGAGCAGGAGGACAGCCATTACAATGAAAGGCCAGAACATACGGATCTACAGCCAGAGCACAGCACGGGCCCACCTTGAAAACTTCTGAACAGCACTAGGAAAGCCAAAGCCTGAGAGACTAGCGGCCAGCTGGCTGGTGACTGGAGTCTGGCAACAACATGGAAAGTGAAGAGTTAGGCAGTGGGAGCTTCTTCAGAATGGGAGCAATGTCCACACAGCTGAGGAAGGGATTCAAATGATGACTAGGCAAGTGAGGCCACAGGCAGTCCAGGAAATCAAAGGAAAAACATTTAAAAAAGACAGACAAACTTGGTGCTTTATATGCCTGCAAATCCCAGCACTTGGGGGGCTGAGGCAGAAGGACCTGGAACTGCAGGCTACCCTGGGCTACCTTGCTGTCCCCAAATCAAACCAAACCAACAAAAAATCTAAAGGAAAAAAATTTAAAAAGAATGAAATACAGACAACTATTCTTGTAGATTATATCCAACACTGGATTTTTTTTGAAACACTATGAGACAAAGAAAAAAGATTTCAAATTTTAAATCAACATATGTGATGTTGATCTACTGTTTCTTAGGAATCCATTTAACTTCTATTAACCTGTAAACTGAAAGCAAAATAACCCTTCTATAACTTATCATTTAAAAATAGGAATATTTACTTCATAAAGAAAAATGAGGTTTTAATTTGTGATAGTGGGCAGCAGAGCTTTGAAAGTAAAACCTCACATGTTGCAGGTTGCTTGTTAGATGCACATTTCAAACAGATTGACTTTCTCAAAATACAGCTAGCAGCAATTACTTACAGGAACAGAATTTGTCTGTTACTAGTTGATCTGCTAGGAAAAGTTATAGCAACCTAATCCTTACAATAACTTAAAGTGAGGGAAACAATCAACTCTATCCTTTGGTGACTGTATTCTCTGCCTGTGGTCCATCTTTCCTCTTCACCTAATGCTCCCCTTCCCTGTGCATGCTAAACTATGCTTACCACACATTTGCTTACACGCACACACATGCATGGGATAGGCTGGAGTCAGTGTGTGAGAACACTGAGAGTACAGCACTCATGATGTCGGGAGTCACAGGGCATGCGCAGACCTTGGGTCTGGGGAGGGCTTACTAGAGTGGCTACATCTATTGCATGCAAGTTCTTTACAATAAAGTGTGCCTTATAGTAAGGAAATGTAAAGACTTTAGCTGTCTTGTCTGCCTGTCTGTCTATCTATCTATCTATCCATCCATCTACTTATTCTATGTACATATTTTACTTATTTATTTATTACCAAAATTTGCCTTGTAATTTGTGTTGTGATCTCTCTGGCATCCAAAACAATCGATGGTGGAAGTGAGGAGGCCTCTGCAGCTTTTAATCCTAAAATTACAGAAAACAGACTTTAAATCACTTCTGTCTAGTCTCAGCTGTGTGATCTGCGATCTAGCAGACCAAAATTCCTCCATGACTGCCTTGCACAAATCCCAGGCTGTTCCATAGGCTTGCTATGTGGGTCAACAGTTTACTATCTCTACGGTTTTACAAGTAACAGAAGCCACTTACACACTCACGGAGACATTACCGACTGCTAGGCTTACTAAAACAGTGACTAACATACGACAATTTACTGAATCGTGAGGACTCCATCCATACACATGATAAACCATCCCTTTCTCCTTCAATTTCATAGGTAATGGAATTGACAATAACAAGGATTAAACATCTGATGCAAGGAAGCTGGTCAGTTCAGTTCCCACTTTAAATAGTAAAGCAGGCTTTTTTCTTTCTCACGAAGTCACATCCATAGGCGAAAGTGATTTTTGGAGAGTTCAATGTATGGGTAAGTGGAAATTTCCAGAACCTGGAAATGTGTGTGCTACATAATGATTTACATTAGAAAGTAGCTGATAGGGGGTTGAGAATACCATGGTTTGGTACATTCTACTCTAAGCTTTTTAAATTTAATTATAAAATACCCTGAAACTGAAAACAAAATAACTGTGCCAATGAGTGTGTAGGAAATACAATATTTTCAATTATATCATTTAAATATAAACTGTTATCCTGGGTCTGGAGAGATGGCTCAGTGGTTAAGTGCACTGTCTGATCTGCCAGAGGACTGAGGCTCAGTTCCCAGCCCCCATATGGCGGTTTACAACTGTCTTTAGCTCCAGTTCCAGAGGACCCAACACTCTCTTCTGGCCACCATGTAAATCAGCCACTCAGAAGGAACATACACACATATGCAGGTAGAACACTCATATGCATAAAATAAAAATCAAATCTTTTTTAAAAACTGTTAAACTTCCTAACAAGATGATACGTTTAGGGCTTTCATACAACACCAGAATTCTATGGTTACTGGTTCAGTTCAGTTGATATAAATATAAACCAAGGAGAACAAACCTATATAATCTAAGTTTGACAAAGAAATTAGAGTCTAAGAAAGCATATAAACACTGGGAAGGATGAGTGACAGCCAAATAAAAATGAAAGGGGCTTCCTTAAGAGACAATATTGTTTTCACATCTGCATGTAAATTCTATATGCAATACCATAGTTTTTTTCTTCTGTGAGTCCCCTGGAAAGTTTGTACGTATACAAAATTGCATCTTTATTTCTTGAGGTATTCTTTACATGCTGAACTTCAAAATGCATGTTTTCTACATTCAGATACAGGGCATCTATGTGACACAGCTCCAGGAAGTGGGTTGTGAAGAGTGTGAATGCCTAGAACATAAAGCAGACTGAGTATTAGCACTTTAAAATTATCTAGAAAATCCTATTTTAACTATTTAAACATAACACATTAGCTTAACTTTCCAACTAGCTTCACAACAACACAGGAATGAAACCACACTCTTGGAGACTGGGTTTTGAAGTTCACATCCAATGAAGACTAACTCTCTGTGTGCGTGCACAACATGTCATGTGAAAGAGATGCTGGTGGCCAGAGACAAAGCTACTGAGGAGGTGGCCACTTACTGGGAGGAACCACAGCTCTCCTGCCCACATATTCACAGAACTACCCTTCACATTTCACAAATGTCACACTGAGCCCCCTCTTATAAGGAGTATTGCAACATGGTATTAATCAGTTATATTAGGTATTTGAACTTTCAAAGATTTTATTTTGTGTTTGTTTTTGTTTTCTTTCTTGGTGCTAGGGATTAAATCCAAGCAATCCAATAAAATTCCTAAATTTTCAGTTTTACTAAGAAAGGAGAGATGAATGACTGGTGATATTTTAAGATACCATACATGAGAAACTAATAGAAGATTGGTTAAAATTTAAATATTGACTTGCCTGAAATCCCAGCACTAAAGAGGCTAAAGCAGAAGGACAATTGAGTTTGGGGACCAATGTGGGTTACACAGAGAATAACAGGCCATCTAGTAGGTAGAACTATATAGCAAGATTCTGTCTCAAAAGCAAGACAATTAAATATTTGGCTGGCAAAATTTCTCAACCAAAGATAATAGCAAAGAAAGGAAAGATTTGACGTATGATTAAGCATGAAAAGTCTCCAAAATCCATGACCTGTGGTTTGGGTACTGCTGGGGTGTGTCCTGCACAGGGGAACTGCTGGCCCCTGAGCCTCCATGTGGCACCACATGGGATATAGGGGACCTTTAAGAGGAGGGGCTTAGTGAGAGGTCTTGAGCACAGCTTTTGGGAGGAGTCAATCTGGTGGAGCAAGTCTCAAGGGAGGAGCACTAATAAAAAACAAGACTAGTGACTAATTAGCCGCTACATGGCTTAGAAGTTGATGGCTATTTGAAAATAATGTCCTTAAAAAATATGCATCAAGGGTTGTAGATGCTGCTCTGTGGCAGAGTACCTGGGTACCATGGTCCAAGCACAGGATTAGATCCTGATCAGCACACACACATTCCCAACAACAAACAACAACACCGACAACAAAACTTTATAAACTCTTTTAGGTTATTCAACACAAAAATGGCTTTTTATGGGCCTATAGATTGCAAACATTGCACTAGACACCAAGCATTGGTTCTAGATTAGAAAACAAACCACAAGCATCTTAAAAGAAGCAAAACAAGCGTCTAAGTTTCTACTTACAAAGGCTATTTTAAAGTGTTGTGGAAGATAAGTATTAATTTTAAAGAAAAATCTCAGTCCTTAAGATTTTACCAATAAAGACTCAGAAGCCAGATGCTGGGGTGCAAGCCTGCTGGCTCAGAGAGGCAGAGAAAAGCACCCCCGGACTTTCCTCCTCTGCCATCGTCCTAGAAGCCTCCCCTCTCTGCTACCATCTCAAACAAGTCTCCAACTCAACGTCCCTCCCTTCTACTTCCTGTGCCTCTCTATCCGTCCTTCTGACTCCCTCACACTCTCTATGGTTTTTCTTAGTAATCTAAAGTTCACTCCCTGTCAACTGGTTGCTGGCTCTGCCTCTTGACTTCACGTCATCCTGTTTCCAGTATTCAAGCAGGAAGTTCTTAGACTAAAGGTGTGTGCTAGGGTTGAGCACACCACAGCTAGAAACAGGTTTTTCCAGTAAATAACAAACTTTCAGGGCTCACAGTGTGATCAGATCTCCTGCAACAGGGAACAACTCTTAGGTGTTGCAGGATATCACAGAAATGACATGTTAGAGTGTTGTAGACTGACGGCAGCCAGATGAGTTCTTCAGTGCTGGGGAGTCAGCCTTTGAGATCTGCTCGGGCTCTCAGGACTGGACAGGGCCCGTGCCCATCAGTCTACAGTTCAGACGCTCACTTCTAGAAACACCCCACAGACATTCTCCAAATAATGTCCAGGCAATTGTCCAGCATTCGTGGTTAGTCAGACTGACTCATAAAATACCATCCCAAATGCTGATTTGCTTTTTGTCTTAAGTATACATGCATCTTGTTCACATATATAAAATATTGTGTATTAACATCACTTCTGACTTGTCACAGCTTTATTTAAACTAGAATAGCTCCTCATTTTTTATAGTTTATCACTGGGGAGCTCTTATTTAAGATAAAAAAAACTCCTTAGGGACATTTTAAGGTATTTTAATCATGAGAATGTGTTTTTTATATTTCACATATCTGTGTATATTTTGAGTGATCATCTAAGAAATAATCTTCCAAATTAATTTGATAATAGAGCAAAATTAATTTTTGTTGCTTTTTTTTGCAAAATTAATTTTTACATAATTTGTGAAAACCTGTTTTCTCTAAAGAATGTTTTTTTCTTTAGGTAGGTAATGCATATTTCCTGTGGATTACCTAATATGTTCAGTTCTATATGCTGTTCTATGATGTCACACATATTATTATATGTGGAAAACAACTCTGAAAATATCTTCATATTTTGCTATTCAGTTTGATTAAAGTCAACTGACTTTTGCATTATTTGTAATTCTCAATTTTACTCCTTGTCTGTATCATGTATACACAATAGTAATTATTTCTACATTCAACACAAATAAAACAAAAATGCAGTGTGCATTTTTTGTTTATAAGTGTGGCAAAATTGTTTATAAGGCTATCTGTGGGTGCTGACAAGATCCAATCATGTTACATGTATGACACTCAGTTTAGAATGAACAGGGAAATAAACCTTTATGCTCAGCAGATGCTCACAGACCGCGTAAGAGACTCCAATGCCTTCTTCTGTATTAGTGCCTCTGCCAAGCTCATCAATTAATATGAGTGACTTGTCATTAGCATTATGCAGAATATACGCTATCTGGAAGACATAATTTTAATACTATTCATTGTAACCAAGCCGACGCCAATCTCCTAAAAAAACAAGCAAAATTGGTCTCTTTATTAATACATCTATTTGAAATGTATTTTAATAGAGAAATCCTGCTGAGCAGAAAATAACAAGCTGCTTTTCTTTCAGAAAAATCTCACCACTAATAATTCCTCCCAAATAACCCATATGTAAAGGCAGACATCTACATATGTATGAGACAACAAACAATGTCATCCACAACACAGAGAAGCAAAACAGTGAACTAAATGCTTAAATAAAACACAAAGTGCTCATTTTCTTCTCCACAAACGACCAAGCACTACCATAAAATGTTGAAAACCAATTCAAAACCTACTTAGATTTGCTAAAAACAGAACAAGATACTGAGAAAAATACACTGATTTAAATAATTTAAATCCATGACCAACAAACAATAAAACTTAAATTGATAGAAATCTTTCTGGAGGGGGGTGGGGGAGTGGATATAAGGGGAGATGGGTAGAGAGAGGGGAGAAGGGGAGGATTGGGGAAAGCTTGGGGGAATGGGATGGGTGGGATGGAGGAAGGGTGGATATGGGAGCAGGGAAGTAAATATCTTAATTAAGGGAGCCATTTTAGGGTTTGCAAGAGACTTGATTCTAGAGGGGTTCCCAGGTCCAAGGAGAGGTCCCCAGATTGTTCCTTGGGCAGCAGAGTAGAGGGTGCCTGAACTGGCCTTGTCCCATACCCACACTGATGAATATCTTGCATATCACCATAGAACCTTCATCTGGCGATGGATGGAGACAGAGACAGAGACCCACATTGGAGCACTGGACTTAGCTCCCAAGGTCCAAATGAGGAGCAGAAGGAGGGAAAACATGAGCAAGCAAGTCAGGACCACGAGGGGTGCGTCCACCCACTGAGACGGTGAGACTGATCTAATGGGAGCTCACCAAGGTCAGCTGGACTGGGAGTGATGGAGCATGTGATCAAACTGAACACTCTGAATGTGGCTGGCAATGAAGGCTGACTGAGAAGCCAAGGACAATGGCACTGGGTTTCGATTCTACTGCATGGACTGACTTTGTGGGAGCCTGTTTAGCATTTGTTTAGATGCTTACCTTTATAGACCTGGATGGAGGTGGGAAGACCTTGGACTTCCCACGGGGCATGGAAACCTGACTGCTCTTAGGACCAGAGAGGGAGGGGGAGGTGGGGAGGAGGGAAAAGGGAGGCGGGGAGGAGGTGGGAATTTTTAATAAATGAATAAATAAATTTAAAAAAATAAAAAAGAAATAAAAAAATAAAAGAAATCTTTCTGGAGAATAACATCCTCTTTCTAAAAATACAGAATTCCACTTCGTCATATTTATAGCGTAGTAGCTTTTTATGGAACAAGGGATTATTTTAGTCAGGAGACACACTTCCTGGTGGCAGTGGACACAGCTATTATGACAGCACCTGGAAAGGCAGAGGCAGGAGGATCTCCGTGAGTTGTGGCCAGTCTGGGAGGGTTATATATAGTGAAACCCTTTCTCAAAAATAAATTAAAATAAACCTTCATGTACGTAGAATATTGCTAGAATCCACACATGCATCCTATACATGCTACACAATTCTGTTTATTTACCCATTTTCTATAACACATGCAGATACCAAACGCAGATGTCCTCAGAACTCTGTTTACTTCCCTTAGCCTCAAACAGAGCTGGTGTTTGCTCATATCAGGAACAGAAGGGGACAGACTTTGATGGGAAATGAGCATTCTCATTCTCCCTGTTTACAAAGCAAAGACAAGGAATCTTAAAGTCTTCTAACACAATGGTATTTAATAGTAAAACCCAGCCAAAAAAGAGCAGTCACTTCAATGTAGAGCAGCCACGGCCGTCTGAAAAGTCAGTTATTCTACACAGAAACATGTAAGCCCACATTAGCCCTCTAGAGCTGTACTCTCTGCCAAACACTGGCTTCCAGTTCCCCTAAAGACACACTAGGAAGCTGTCTTTGACTGCCCTCTGGCTCTCGGGATCTAAAGTGCACCGGCTACTCTAGATGCTTTTAATACAGGGGGAGTCTTGTTCAGCTACCTCTTTCATTTCTTTCATAAATGTTGATGAATTTGTTTCAATATCATCATCAGTGCTGATTCTCGTAAAGATCTGCTCAGCAATCCTAAAGGAGGCGTATTCTGCTGGAACGTAAGAGCCTGCAAAATAAAAGGCAGAGTTAACAGAAGTATTTTAGAAAACAGACGCTACCAACACTGTTTCAGCTCTGAGGGTGGGACCGTGTGGTGGGCACTGATGTAGGTGGAGTCACAGAGCACAGCCGTGGCTCTCCTGCTCTCTACATAAGGTAGCATTTAAACTCCCCTTTCTCAGACAGGAAATGGACCTGTCGTACAAAGTTATCAAAACCCAAATGGGATAGACAGTATTTGATCTGAAGCTCAGCTACATCAGAAAGAGATCACTTTAAGCTTCATAAATGATTAGTTCATAGAGATAACTGATAAACAACATGCAAACGAGAAACCTTGAAGGCATGCATGTGAAGCTCATAAAAGAAATCTGAAGGAAATGTGTATGAGGGTCAAAGTGATAAAAACCACTGTAAGTTACAAATGATGTGTCTGTGCAAACATGAAGAAATGTGTCAAAGCAGGAAAATAAAACATATAACCAAAAACAGGAGTTATGATACCAATCCTTTAACATAATGTGACATGAAAATCATTCTATCATAAGATAAAATAAGTACATCAGAATAAAAAATGTATCTCAGAGCCCTGTGTAGCTAAAAATGATGTAATGGGAGGAAAGCAAGCAAGGCTAGTGCAGGATCTAGGTTAGTGCAGGATCTAGGTTAGTGCAGGATCTAGGTTAGTGCAGGATCTAGGGCAGAAGAAGGGAGGAGAAGAGGGCCTGGCTGAGGAATGAGGACCACAGGGGAAGGAAGCAAACACCAGGTGACTGGTTAGATTATGAGTGCTAACAGCGCCAGCAGCCTGCTCTCTTCACACGGGGCATTTTCCACCCTCACCTCTGACTGGCCAAGTGGCCCACTGACAGGGGTGTGGGAGTCAGGGTCACAGAGCTCTGAGGACGCAGCTCTTCCACACTACTGCTTTTTAAAATTTGCTTAAAGGCAGAGACTAGGGGCTGGAGAGAGATCAGTAGGTAGGAGCACATGTATGGAAACCTGAGTGTGAATGCCCTGCACCCATGTGCAAAGCTGGGAAACCCAGTACCTGTAACACCAGCACTAGGAAGCAAAGACAGGCAGATCCTGGAAGCTCACTGGCTAGCCAGCCAAGTCAAAACAGTGAACTCTGGTTCAGTGAAAGGCCTTGTTTCAAGACAAAGAAGCAAAGAATCATAGAGGATGACATCCAACATCCTCCCATCCTCTAGCTTTCCCATGTGGTCGTGTGGACTTACACACATACATGCATGGAACACACACACACACACACACACACACACACACACACACACAGCAGGGATACAAAACTAGAGCAGGTTCTAATACTCTTATATATTAATAATATATAATATATATATTATTATACAATATAATAATACTCATATATATTGTATGTATATAGCCATACAATAAGTAGTGCTGAAAGTAAATAGTGAGGTGCTAGAGTTACAATTTGACCAGAAGTCACAAAACTAAATACGAACTACTCCTCCAAGATGTAGGAGTGACTTGCTATGCTTCTGTCTTCTATAAAAGGCACTAGCTCAGGGGAGGACCTGGAGTCATACTGCCTGGGTGTGACACCGGGCACTGCCTCTCAGAGGCTAAGATCCTTGACAAAGACCTCTTAGAGCTTTAGTTTATTCACCTACAATTTGGAGGCAACAATAATGCTCATTAGACGTGATGAGTATCAGTCATATAGAAAAGACATGTTTTAGGATAATAAACACAGGGCAGAATAAAGTGCCCAGCACAGGAACTCAGGAATAGCCACTGGAACAGGTACGGTAGCCTACAGCTAAGACCTGATGGTGGATGACTGGAGCCAGCATTTCTATCCTGACCGTCACTATTCAGACAATGAGCAGATATCCTTTAAAGACTTACTCTGTGTCTGATTTCTGCTGCCTGAGTGCTGGCCACACCATACAGAAGAACGGGTGAGCGATCTGCCTACCAAGTGAATGGCCCAACCCCTAGATTCTGTTCCCAAAGATCTATTCCACTGCCCATGCCCTCCAACTGCATCAGCCTCCCCAGGGACAGCACCCCCTTACCCCGTGCCCAAACTCTGGAGGATTTCCACTGGTCAGTGCAGGTCACACCAGTAAAAAGAACAGAGACCCTCTGCTGCACCAAAGGTCAAGCCAGCCACCAGAAAGCCACCCCTCAACTTGGACAGAAACTCCCTATTAGATCAGAGGCCATGTCACCAGACAGAAATCCAGGCCACAAAGACCAGAAGATCAAAGAGGAAACAGAAACCAAGGAACGAAATATTTATCCAACAAACACAAATTCAGAAATCAGCACCTAGACCTATAATCACTCCCAAACCACCTAGACGCCAGTGTAAGAATAAAATCAAAAACAGCCAGGGCAATATGGCACCATTAGAGCACAGCTATCCTATGACAGCAAAGCCTTAATATTTCAAAGCAGTGGAAACACAGGAAAATGACCTTAAAAACAACTTTGTCAAGATGACAGAGGTCTTTAAAGAGGAAATAAAAAAAATAATCCCTTAAAGAAATCGAGGATAAGACAGCCAAAAAATTGGAGGAAATCAATAAATCCCCAAAGGAAAACCAAGAGAAAACAGATAGAGGAAAATATTCAAGACCTGAAAACCAAAACAGAAGGAAACAAACAAACAAACAAAAAAAAGCAACAAAAAAAAAAGAAAACAGAAAACAAAAAACTAAGGAAATCTGGAAATGGAAAATCTGGATTAGCAAACAGGGACTTTAGACTCAAGCATCACCAACAAAATACAAGAGAGGAAGAGAGAATCTCAGGTGTTGAAGCTATAACAGAAGAAATAGACCCATCAGTCAAAGAAAATGCTAAATCTAAGCTAAATCTAAAAAACTCCTGACACAAAACAGCCAGGAAATCTGGGACACTATGAAAAGACCAAACCTAAGAATAAGAGGAATAGAAGGAGAAGAATTCATGCTCAAAAATCCAGAAAATATATTTAACAAAATCATAGAAGAAAAATTTCCTAACCTAAAGAAGGACATGCCTATATGGTATAATAAACTTATAGAACACTAAAAAGGTTGAATAGAAAACAAAGTCCCCACATCACATAATCAAAACACTAAAAATACAGAAGAAAAAAAGAATATTAAAAGCTGCAAGGGAAAAGGCCAAGCAACATATAAAGGCAGACCTATTAGAATTACACCCAACTTCTCAACAGAGACACTAAAAGCCAGAAGGGTCTGGACAGACAACTTGCACACCCTAAGAGACCAAGGAAGCCAGCCCAGATTACTATATCCAGCAAAACTTTCAATCACCATAGTTAGAGAAAACAAGATATTTCACGACAAAGTCAAATTTAAAAACAGCTATCCACAAATCCAGTCCTACAGAAGGTACTAGAAGGAAAACTCTAACCCAAGGAGGTTAACTACACCCACAAAAACACAGGAATAGATAATCTCACAACAGCAAAATTCAAAGAAAGGACACACACACACCACCACCACCAACAACAACCATTACCACCACCACTACCATCAATAACAACAACAACAAAATGACAGGAATTAACAATCATTGGTCATTAATATTTCTCAATATCAATGGATTCAATTCCCCAATAAAAAGACACAAGCTAACCAAATGGAAACGAAAACAGGATGCACCCTTCTGTTGCATACTACAAACACACCTCAACATCAAAGACAGTCATTACCTCACAGTAAAGGGTCGGCAAAAGATTTTCAAGCAGATGTACCTAAGAAGCAAGCTGATGTGGCTGTTCTAATGTCTAAAATAGACTTCAAACCAAAATTAACCAAGAGACGGAGGACCATTTCATCCTCATCAAAGGAAAAATCCACCAAGATGACATTTCAATTCTTAACATCTACGCCCCAAAGCAAGGACACACACATTTGTAAAAACATATTACCGAAGCTTAAATCACACATTGAACCTTACACATTATTAGTGGGAGACTTCAATATCCAAATCTCACCAATGCACAGGTCATCAAGACAAAACTAAACAAGAGAAACAATGGAGCTAACAGACATTATGAATCAAATGGACATAATATATCTACATAACATTTCATCCAAAGACAAAAGAATATACCTTCTCAGTATCTCATGGAACATTCTCCAACATAACCCACATAATTAGTCACAAAGCAAGTCTCAACAGATACAAGAAAACGGATTTAAGCTGGATATCAGCAACAGCAGAAACAGCAGAAAGCCTACAAACTCACGGAAACTGAGCAATTCCCTACTGAATGACTACTCAGTCAAGGCAAAAATAAGAAAGAAATTAAAGACTTCTTAAAATTCACTGAAAATGAACAAGAATGTACAACCTACCCAAACTTATGAGACACAATGAAAGTTCACAGCACAAGTGTCTACATAAAGAAAGTGGAGAACGCTCATACTAAGGACTGGACAGCACACCTGGAAGTTCTAGAACAAAAGCAGACTCACCTGGGGAGTAGACGACAGGAAATAATCAAATGGAGGGCTGAAATAAATAAAACAGAAACAAAGAAAACCATACAAAGAATCAATGAAACAAAGACTTAGTTCTTTGAGAAAATCAATAAAATAAACAAACCCTTATCCAAACTAACTAAAAGGCAGAGAGAGAATATCCAAATTAACAAAATCAGAAACAACAAGGTCCTAACAATGGATACTGAGGAAATCAAAAGAATCAATAGATCATACTTCAAAGATCTGTACTCCAAAAAATTGGAAATCTAAATGAAACAGACAATTTTATCAATATATACCACTTACCAAAGTTAAATCAAGATCAGAAAAACAATTTAAATACACCTATAAACCCAAGGGAAATAGAAGCAGTCATTAAAGTCTCCCAAACAAAAAAGGCCCAGGTTCTGACAGTTTTAGCACAGACTTCTACAAGACTTTCAAAGAAGAGCTAATACCAACACTTCTCAAATTATTCCACAAAATAGGAACAGAAGGAACATTGTCAAATTCATGTTATGAGGCCACAGTCACCCTGATACCCAAACCACACAAAAGACTCAACAAAAAAAAGGGAATTACAGACCAATTTTTCTCATGTTCATTGATGCAAAATATTCAATAAAAGCTGGGCAGTGGTAGCATACGCCTTTAATCCCAGCACTCGGGAGGCAGGGGCAGGCAGATCTCTGTGAATTCGAGACCAGCCTGGTCTATAAGAGCTAGTTCCAGGACAGACTCCAAAGCTACAGAGAAACCCTGTCTCGAAAAACAAAATCAAAACAAAACAAAACAAAACAAAAATACTCAATAAAATACTTGCAAACTGAATGCAAGAATGCATCAAAAAGATCATCCACCATGACCAAGCAGGTTTCATTCCAGAGATGCAAGGATGGGTCAACATATGAAAAATCTGTCACTGTAATGTACTATATAAACAAGCTGAAAGAAAAAAACACTCGATCATCTCATTAGATGCTTAAAAAAAAAAGCCTTTGACAAAATCCAGTACCTCTTCATGATAAAAAGTCTTGGAATGATCAGGGATACAAGGGACAGACCTAAACATAATAAAGGCAATATACAGCAAGTCGACAGCCAGCATCAAATTAAATGGAGAGAAACTTAAAGCAATTCCACTAAAATGAGGGACAAGGCTGCTCACTCTCCCCATATCTATTCAATATAGTATTTGAAGTTTTTATTAAAGCAATAAGACAACCAAAGGAGAGCAAGGGGACACAAATTTGAAAAGAAAAATTCAAAATATCAGTATTTGCATACTATGTGTGTGTGTGTGTGTGTGTTTGTGTGTGTGTGTGTTCCAAAATTTTTCCTAGGGAACCACTACAATGATAAACACTTTTAGCAAAGTGACTGGACACAAAATTAACTCAAAAATATCAGCAGCCCTCCTATGCACAAATGGTAAATGGTCTGAGAAAGAAATCAGAGAAACAACACCCTTCAAAATAGCCACAAAAACCATAAACCATATTGGGTTAACTCTAACCAAGCATATGAGAGATCTTTACGATAAAAACTTCAAGTCGTTGAACAAGGAAATTGAAAAAGATCAGAAAATGGAAATCTCCCATCCTCATAGATCAATATGATTAACAGTAAAAACAGCTATCTTATAAAAAGCAATCTACAGATTCAATGCAATCTAGCATAAAATTCTAGCACAATCCTTTACAGACTTTGAAAGAACAGTATTCAACTTTATATGAAAAAACAAAGAACAACAACAAAAAACCCAGGATGGCTAAAATAATCCTATACAAGAAAAGAACTCCAGAGGATAGCATCATCCATGATTTCAAGCTGTACTACAGAGTTGTAGTAATAAAAAGCACCTGGTACTGGCATAAAAACATATACATTGATCAATGGAATCGAATCAAAGATCCAGACATAAATACACACACACATGAACACCTGATTTTTTTTTAATAAAGAAGCTAGAAACATACAATGGAGAGAAGAAAGCATCTTCAACAAATGGTGCTGGTCTCACTGAACGCCAGCAAGTAGCAGAATGCAGATAGATCCATATGTATTACCCTGTACAAAATGTAGGTCCAAATGGATCAAAGACCTCAATATAAAGACAGATAACACTGAGTCTGAAAGAAAAGAAGTTGGCAATAGTCTTGTATGCAGTGGCACAGGAGACAACTTCCTGAACAGAACACCAATAATGCACACACTAAGATCAACAATCAATAAATGGAACCTCATGAAACTGAAAAGCTATAAGCAAAAGGATACCATCAACAGGATAAAATGGCGGTCTACAGAATGTGAAGTTTTTTACCAAACCCGTATCTGACAGAGGATATATATCAGAAATATATAAAGAACTCAAGAAACTAGACATCAACAAAAAAAATAATTCAGTTAAAAATGGAGTACAGGGGCTGGAGAGATGGCTCAGAGGTTAAGAGCACTGGCTTCTCTTCCACGGGTCCTGAGTTCAATTCCCAGCTACCACATGGTGGCTCACAACCATCTGTAATGAGATCTGGTGCACTCTTTTAGTGTGTAGGCATACACACAGGTAGAACACTGTATACATAATAGATAAACAGTCTTTAAAAATAAAACAAAGACAAAAAACTATTTTAAAAATGGGGGTACAGCTTGGCAGTGGTGGCACACACCTTTAATCCCAGCACTTGGAAGGCAGAGACAGATGGATCTCTGTGTGTTCGAGGTCAGCCTGGTCAACAGAGGGAGTTCCAGGACAGGCACTAAAACTACAGAGAAACCCTGTCTCAGAAAAAAAAAAAATGGGGTACAGATCTAAGCAGAATTCTCAACAAAGGAAACTTAAATGGCTGAGAAACACTTGAAGAAATGTTCAACATCCTCAGCAATCAGGGAAATGAAAATCAAAACGACTCTGAAATTACATCTTACACCTTCAGACAGTTGAGCAACTAGCATTAAGAAGACTAGATCATTCTGTGATACATACAAGAGTAGAATCAGGGCTAGTGAATACAAATCATGCAAAGCCATGTTTGAATTCAACGGAGTGAATCCACCACCCCCCTTTCTCTTCCCACTCTCTCTTTTAATTCTTTAAGGCAAGTTCTCTTATAGCCCAGGTGGGCTTCATGCTAAATCTGTAAGTGAGGATGCGCATGCCCTCTGATCCCCTGCCTCTCACCTCCCCAGTGCTGGGATATGGGTGTAAGCTACCATGCCTGGCTTCTGATGTCTGAGGTCAGTTCTCAGGGAAGCCAGTTATTAGAGATAGGAGCTATGTTGGGCCTGTACGTGAGACACCTGTAACAATGCTTGGAGCAGTGGCAGATATTTACACACATGGACAGAGAGACGGACAGTCTCCCCTGCCCTCCTAATGGTTGTTGGTATCCTTCAAGTTAAGGGGAAAGTTTCTATGCCCAATGCTGTAATGTTTGGAAAAGGTCATTTGGTCACTAAAGACATCAGATACTCAGGATTTAGTGTCTTTATTCCTTTTCTATCACCAAGAAAAACGCCAAGATCAAGGAAGTTTATAAGGAAAGCATTTACAGGGGCTTCCAGTTCCAGAGGGTGAGTCTATGAGCATGGCAGTAGGCAGACACGGCGCTGGAGTATGTCCAACCCTTGCACTGGAGGCAGAGAGAGGACTAACTCGGAAGGGCATAGGCTTTTGAAGCCCCAAGTTCATTCCCGAGTGACACTCCTCCTTCAAAAGCCACATTTCCTAATTCTTCCTAAACAGCTCCACCAACCGGAGATTACACATCCATGTGTGTGCGTGCACGCGTGCCTAGAGCTGGAGAGATGGCTCAAGCTGTTAAAGGCTAAGGTTTACAACCATATATGAGTTGACGGGGTTCATTTTTGTACAAACCACCACAACTGGTGATCATAAGGTAAAAGGGTAACTTACCAATCTGGGCCATGATCTGACAAAGTGCAATCTGTTTTAAATACGTGGATTTTCCGCTCATATTCGGTCCAGTTATGATCAGAACATTACTCCCTTCTGTAATATACGTATTGTTTGCAACAGGTTTCTCTGCAGATATCTTTTCAAGAATGGGATGCCATCCTTGTTTGATTGCTAAAGTGTCAGTAAACTCTGGTCGGACTGAAGAAAAAAAATAAGGGTTTTAAAAACTGAGTATACTTATATTTACATATCTTGTGGCACATACATATTGGCTCACCTTAGTAATTTCATGAAGCCAATTTGAGACAATAAATTTGAGACAAAAAAAACACTATTTTATCCTAACATACTCTTAAATCTTTAATTGTAGTGGGTATACTCATTATTTCTACTTATGTGCAGAGAACTCTAGAATGTAGTTTCTTCTCCGTGTCCTGGGCTCCAAAACGCTTATAGAATTTTCCATTTGTCAAGATTAAAAAGAACCACATGGCTATGGGTAATATCTTCAAAATAACCACTGAGTCCTATAGATGGAAAGTTTGCTTAGTGCATCGGGATCACTGTTTCTCTAGCAAACTTAAGTGTTCACAACGAGGTGTAATTAAAGAGTGAAGCCAAATATAAGCAATTTGCTGTCCACACCCTTTGAAAAATATGTCTAAAAATCGTTTTTTTTGAAACGCAGAAAACCAGGTACTAAAGATCTATTGGTTCACAGAAAGATCTCTATGGACACCATCTGAAGAGGGAACTAAAATACTGCACACCAAGAAATGGACTATAAGCATAAACTTCAAAACATTCATCACAAATTAAGGTCTGTCCAGAAAAAATAAAGATCTTTAAAAACAGCTGCATTTTTAGGATTTGGATATGATATTTCTCAAATAAAATAGAGCAAAAAGCTGCTTACTAATTAATAAATCATTATTAGAGTAGCAAACCCTGGACTGGGGACACGGCTCTGCTGGTGGAGTGCTTGCTGACCACGCCAACACTGCGCATGGGCACCTGGTGCATGTGTAAGGCAGAGTGGACATGAAGATTAAGGTCATAAAGGTCATCAGCACTACTAACTCAACCTGAGACCTGGTCCCCACAAGGACAACCCCACCCCAAAAAACCCTAAAGAAGATATAAAAGAGGAAATATTTCAGTCTATAAGATAGTAGTGAAAAAGTAAATGTTGATTATTGTTATAACTGTTTATTATTATTATCATCTGGTATTATTTACTAATATTTAAGTTTAGATATGTATAAATAAGACGATTTCTTGTAAGATACATTCCTTGAAAACAAATTAATGTCATGATGCTGAAGAGATGGTTCAGTGGTTCAAGCACTTTCCAGTTTTGCAGGAGACCTGAGTTCAGTAGCCATCGTCACAAGGGGACTCACAACCAATTGCAACGCCAGTTGCAGGGCACCTGATCCTCTCTTCTTGCCTCCAAGGGCATTGCACACACATGCATATATTCCGACACTCACACATACAAATAAAACAAAATTAATTTTAAAAATTAATCAATCAATGTAACAAATCAGAAATGCTGTTGCTAATTGTAATGCCGTTGCACGTACAGTTATTCAGCCATAATTCCCACACACTAGTCCTAGATGTTCGCATGCTGGTGTGTGATACTAACTGATAGACTGTAGCTCCGCTGAAGTGCTGACACGGGAAATGACTGCACGTCTGTATGAAGCCTCTGGACAGACATGGGAGATGAAAGTACACAGCACAGCTTCTAGCCTTAGTCTACATGTGAGCCCCAGAGCTGAGAAAGAACTCGCACACGGCGATGCTTCTGTCTGTTAGCATTCAGGACACCGCTTCCTTGAGTATTCCGAGAACTTCTGGACCACTGCCACATCACCAAGGAAACAGCTCAGCCATCTTTCTTCTTGGGAAACCTTTAAACATTCCTCAGATTTGTTCATTTTGACTTGACAATTTTTAATGAATATTATTTGAATTTAACTTTTTAAAAATGCTTTGAAGATTTTATTTGTGATTATATGTTTGTGGGCCTGTGTTTGGGTTATGTTCATGTGAGCACAGTACCTGAGGTGGCCAGAAGGTGTCAGTCTTGGAGTTATAGTTACAAGCAGGTATGGGTGTTGGGAATCTTGAGAGCAGTTCACACTCTGAGCCATCCTAGCCAGCCCCTAAAAACTTTAAGGTTAATTTCACTATCTCCATTCTGTGTGTTACTTAGTGTCACAGATAAGAAACTATTTCAAGTAATAAAAGTAAAATATTCACCACTCATATAAAATTGCGTAAGACACACGTTTCAGTGTGTTACGTTTTTCTTTCCAAAGAAAGTAACTCACCGTAGTCAGAAAGAGTACAGGCGTGAGCAAAAGACAGCAGCATATCCAGCATGGACACAGTGTCAGAGAGCTTGTACAAGCAATGAATGTACTCATAAATCTCACTAAGCAGCTTGCACACTATCCTGAAAACACATGTTGGACAAGATATGAAGACACAGGATTTAATCTAGTGAGGAGAATACTATTCACAGATGAGCTGTACACTACACAAAAGTCTATTGCTTGGCTGGCTCGTTTTAGATAAAATAAGGGTGTCGATGCTTCAGTTTAACATCACGACTATCAGGTAAGAAAATCACCTGTCTTCTTCTATATTCATTGTTGAAATGACAGTCTCATTAAATATAAACAATAAAACAATTTTCAATAAAATATTATATTAGTGAAAGTATAAAATATTTTATATACACCTAATCAAGGGCTCATACACAAAAACAGACGCACATATAGACATATACACTGAGAGACATAAAAAGAAACACATGCTAAGACAAAACACATGGGGGGCAGAAACCCAGCCACACACACACACACACACACACACACACACACACACACACGCTCAAGTCATGCCATTACTTAGGTTTTCATGAACAGGGTTATAATATAACACACACCAGGGACTTTTTTCTCTTTCATGGATGAATATGTACTCAAAATTTACATTACATTAATAGTACCTGAGGTCCTGGATTTGAAGCTGTTTTGAAAGCCTAACTCTTCACCTCTGCCTCAGCCCACCAATCCCAAATGTCTCTCTCCTGTCTGCAAGGCCACTGTTTCATGAGAAGACAAAGAGTCGGGCCCATTGTGATGCTGCCTTAGAAACACCAGAGTGTGAGAAGCCAAGACCACAGAATGGAAGGAGCTGAGCGAAGGCCAAGACAAGCCCATGGCGGGAGCTCTACGCAGCAGTGCACGTAGGCAGGAGTACTGGGAAGGCAGCAGTCTTCCCCATGTCCCCTCAAGCTTTCCAGAAGGCTCGCTTTCTCTCAACATGATGGCAGACCTTTCCTAACACTCAAAACTGAACTGTCTTTAATCAGACAAAGACTCAATTAATTAAATCTATTATAGTTCCTCAAATTAAACAAATTTAATTTGGTATTCAAATACTTCAAATGCTCTTACATGTAAGTCATGTGATAGATTTCTCGCAAAGACTCCTGGCATCTTTCATTCATTTTAATTAAATCTGCTGATGTAAAGCTGTAAGAGTTTTTCATTTTAGAAATCTGCAGGAAGTTAAAAGCAAATATCAAGATATGTGTACATGCATATGAGATAAAACATACAGTTTATAGGACAGAAAAATAGGGTTTTGGGTTAACCACTTTAATTTCTGAGATAAAATGTCACAAAGAAAGTTCTAAATAATATCTGTGAAAAATAAAAGATTACATCAAGGATAAAGTGAGGTATTATTTACCCAATCTCCAGTATGATTGGTTGGAAAACTACATCTCAGTAGCAGGTACCACACATGATGAACAGGGAGGACCCTCTGTGCCCCTCATTCTGTCTAACTGAACCTCAGTATCCAGCTCCACAACCACCTCATCTAAATCTCACTGACAGTAAGACAGTGTTTGTATGAACTGTTTGTGTATACATGTATCTGTCTATGAAAGGGACATGTGTAAATATGAACAAATCTGAACACTAAGCAGTTTGTCTTTCTATTAGAAAGCAGAAAAAAAACAAAACAAAAAACCCAGGGCATTAAAAATGACAATACTGCTTCAAAAAGGCTATAGTACAGCAGTGGATACGTACACAGGAAAAGGCTATAGTAGAGGATACGTACACAGGAAAAGGCTATAGTAGAGGATATGTACACAGGAAAAGGCTATAGTAGAGGATATGTACACAGGAAAAGGCTGTAGTAGAGCAGTGGATATGTACACAGGAAAAGGCTATAGTAGAGGAGTGGATACGTACCTAGGAAAAGGCTATAGTAGAGGATATGTACACAGGAAAAGGCTATAGTAGAGGAGTGGATACGTACCTAGGAAAAGGCTATAGTAGAGGAGAGGATATGTACCTAGGAAAAGGCTATAGTAGAGGAGAGGATACGTACACAGGAAAAGGTTATAGTAGAGGAGTGGATATGTACACAGGAAAAGGCACAGTTCTCAGGTTTAAAAACCCTAAACAAATAGATTTCCTTCTGCAGAAATTTGCAAACCTTTAATATGAAAATGCATCTGGGAAACTATGTAAAACAAAGATAGATGAGATGACTCATTTGGTAAAGGGCCTATGGCCAAGTTTGGATACCTGAGTTCAATCCCTGGGACCTACATGGTGGAAGGAGAGGACTCATTCCCACAAGATGTCCTATGACTTCCAAGTGCACGCACACAAAACAATGAATTTAAAATTTTTTAAACAAAAGGCAGTTCATTATTTTTCTAAATTCTTTCGTCAAAAACAGATTTTAGACTTTGTTTCTTAATTTGCCTTTGCGTCCCTTGGTTGTCCCCTCACGATTGTCATCCTGCTGGTGTGGCTGCTCAGTAAGCACATTAGAGACACCACATACCAGAGAGTCAGAAGCTAAACTCGAGGAGAGCTGGAAAGTCTACCAACGCACTTCCATAAAACCAGGAACACCCACGCTGTAGAATAATTCTCTTGTATACAGTAAGATTTGTCACTCAGACTGGTTTAATGAAAAGCTGATTGACCGATAGCCAGGCAGAAAGTTAGATGGAAAAGACAAACCGAGAATAATGAAACGAGCAAGGGCAGCATCAGAAGAGTCACAAAATGGGACTGAGGTAAAAGTCATGAGCCTCGGGGAAGCAGATATTTGAATAGAAATGCGGTAAGTTATAAGAACTAGTTACTAGCAAACCTGAGCTATTGGCTGAGCATTTACAATTAATAATATTAAGTCTCCATGTTGGTTACTTGGGAGTGGCTTGAGGGACAGAAACTTCTACCTACAAACAGTGCCCAACATGACACTCGAACACACAACCCTGAGACTAAGAGTTTCATGTTCTACCAAATGAGCTAGCCAGACATTTATAATTAATATAAGCCTCAGTGTGTTTGAGAGAGAGTGTGGGACAGGAAAATTCCGCCTACACAGCCATTTCCTTATTTCCAAGTTAACCTTAATAAACTCTGAGGGAAGCTGGTCGCTGGAGAGCGCAGCACAGTCTGTAGTCATCTGGATGAAAAAGCCCCGAGCAGAGCTGAAGCTGGTCCGGAGTGGAAGGTTGTACTTCTCTGCAAGCTGTGATATCATTCCTAGGAACAGGAACAGGAAAAACAAGCATTTTCTGGTAGGAATTTCGGTGGAGCCATAGGCTTTTTAACTTATTATTTTATATGCAAACAGAAAACTCTTTAGTTTTTTTAAAGAGTAAAAATATTTCAATGTCCAAAAGATGTAGGTAAGTATCCTTTAAGGAGATATTCTCTGGCTGGGTGTGGTGGTGCACACTTCTAATCCCTGCACTTGGGAGCCAGAGCCAGATATCTGTGAGTTCCAGGCCAGTCAGGGCTGTTACACAGAGAAACCCTGTCTAGAAAACAACAACAAAAAGATATTCTCTACATGTATTTTTAAAGGAAACTAAATTGTAAAAATTAAAACAAGAAAGACCATGAACTCTTTATCGCTGATTAGGAATATTATAGTTCCAGTATGTAGTGAAACAGAAGTCACACATTGCTGCACCTTCCATCTCACCAGCGTATCCCGAATGAAACAGATATCAAATAATCTGATGTAGTTCTAATCTCTGTCAGTCCCACACACTAAGTTCTAAGCCTGTGCCTCTACTTTAGCACTTGATCGTGAATATTCCTTGTGAAACACCAGCATGTGTTCCTACACTAGCTCCTCCTGGCTCTCCTGATTTCTCAATGGTCTCACCATCTGGGGCTAGAAAGTTCACTTAGCACTTGAGGTTACATCTGTCTTTACCGTGGCCATGTCTGCTTAACAATTATTCCTTTAACTCTGTATCTTAACTAGGGTTCCTATTGCAGTGATAAAACACCATGACCAAAGGCAATTTTGGGAGGAAGAAAGGACAGCTCTGAAGTCACATTCCATCACTGAGGGCAGTTGGGCAGGAACTCAGGGAGGTTCCCTAGGTGGAGTCTGTGCAAAGACCACAGAGGTCTTGCCGGCTCGCTCCCGTGGCTTGATCAGCTTGTTTTCTTATAGCACCAAGGCCAACCTGCCATCCACAGTGAGCTGGACCCTCCCACATCAACCATCAACCACGAAAATGGTAGGAACATGTTTTTCAGTGGATATTCCCTCTTCACAAACTGCTCTAGCCGTGTGGAGCTGACACAAAACCAGTCAGCACACATGGCATTCTTGTCTCACACTGGCTGCTATCATCTTTCACTGTACTCCAGATACAGGGCAGCGTTCACTTGCTACAGGAGTCCAATAAACATGATGACTAATCACTAGAGCTCTCAGATGCTCATCCTCTGATAAAACCGGGCCAGCCCCTGGCACAAGCATTTTAGTATCAATAGTCTTCTTTCTTCAAGTAACTTCCCGGGGATAGTAGGTCACTCTGTAACACTTCAACATCACCAACTTTTATTTTTTCCCCTTTTCTTTTGAGGCAGGATCTTACTATGTAGACCAGGCTGGCCTCAAACTCATAAAGGTATGTTTCCTCTACCTTTTGAGTTCTGGGATTAGAGGTGTATGCCACCAGACCTTGTGACATCATTGTTTTTAAAAGGAGGTTTCTTAAAGAATAATGTGTGTTAGCCTCACTGCACATATATAAAATTATATATATACATATATATAACTATATATTTATACATATATATTAAAAGTATATATTCCATATATTATATAGTAAGGTGTACACACACACAAACAACTAGTCTCTACCACCAGTAAAAATGGAAATCACGTGCTAATCTGTTTTGCTAGTGAAAGCCGTGAGAACATGCCGGGCAGTTACCGGCTATGTCATCCACTATCTCTGTGTACGTCCTCCTAGCTATGTCTAGGAACTCGCTGATGTTGGAGCGCACTGCGTAGCACTTCTGAGTGCGCATGCTCAGGCAGCCTTTCGTGTACCGAGCGTCATCGTTTATCACTGCTCCGATCTTGTCCAGTATGAGTCCAAACCTAGCATGAAGACAAACGAAAACAGGTGATAAGCAATGAACACAAACCATTGTTGAGGGTTATATAATATTTAATTAATGTTTATATTTATCTAGGTTAGAACAATCATTGCCTCAACTTAAAACTATTTTGCAGTTAGGAATACTCAAAAATAGTATGAGAGCACCAAATAAAACTAAACTTTGCTAATGGGAACATCTCCATGTTACACATGATCACTATGGCTGGAAGTACAACCTGATCCCTAAAGAAATGAGACAAAATTCGGACTGCCTGCGCCTTCATTCCATATGCATGTCGGTCATACAGCAGGAGCTGTATTAGGCACAGGGACCTTTCAGGAAGGGAGACATGACTGAGCATGTGCTGTGGACACGGGAACTGGAACAGGAGCCCACCACCACTAGTTACCAAGCACAGCAATTACTGCACAAGTCTCAGCTATTGTTCTGGAACATCACATTGAACTAAGCTGGCTGATCATCAAGTTCAGATTATGGCCTCACAGAGGATGCTCTTCACCCAACAAGGCAACTGTCGAGCCTGATAACCTGTTTGGTCAAGAACCAGGGTGTTAGTGCTAATAATTAACAAAGTTAATTGGGGGCTGAAAAGATGACTCAGTGGTTAAGGGCACTGGCTGCTCTTCCAGAAGACCCGGGTTCAATTCCCAGCACCCACATGGCAACTCACAACTGTCTGTGATTCCAGTTCCAGGGAACCTGACATCCATGGCAAAACACCAATGTACATTTAAAAACAGAAAGAAAGAAAGAAAGAAAGAGAGAGAGAGAGAGAGAGAGAGAGAGAGAGGGAGGAAGGGAGGGAGGGAGGGAGGGAGGAAGAAACACCCACCCACTGGAGCAGGCAGTTATCAAAAAAAAAAAAAAGAAAAAAATGTTAATTGATTTTAGAACTTGCCCTACATTCCTATGTACTGGAATTTTTTTTTGTTGTTTTTTATTTCTTAGGTCTTCCATGCTTTCATAGAAAAGAAGGATGTAGTTGATACAGGAAGTGTCCCCATGGAGAACGGCCTGAAAGGGAACACTGGCCCTCGGTACAAAGAGCACTGTGTTGCCGTCCTATTACTGTGCTTACAGGATTAGCATGTAATCTTGTAAGATACTTAATGGATACTTTGAAGAATCTTGAGTAATTATTTTTGAGAAAGGGTCTCACTATGTAGCTCCAGTTTGCCTGGAACTTGTGATGTAGACCAGGCTGGCCTTGAACTCACAGAGATCTGCCTGTCTTTGCTTCCCAAGTGCTAAGATTAAACTCATGTACCACCACACCCAGATCAAGTAATTTTTCTATAAAGACACAGTTGTTAAGATCAGTTATGTTTGGGAAGGAAAGTGTAATCTCCTAGCAGGTGACAGGACCTGTTATCTTCCAAGGAGCCATAGTAAGCTCTTAGCAAGGGTGTGCTACAGTTCTTCAAGGTGGCCTGTTGAAAAACAAAATCAAAAGTGAGCAAGTCACGGCATTATTCAGATTCAACACTTCATATTTAACACTTGATCAAATGTTGTTTGAGAAACTAATCTACTGCTGAAGACAACGCTCACATGTGTCACTGAACATGGAGAAGTTGAGCTGGTGCCTAGCTAGAGGTTTGACCCCTACTGAGTAGCATTCATGGTACTGGAAGGTACTCTACCTGCTACCAGGGGAGAAAGGTAGTTATCGGTATCACCCAGCAATAATGCCCTGTGACCTACAACAGTGCCCTGTCTGTAAGACATACTGACACAATGGTAGCAACCACTATGGGAGTGACCAAGCGCTTTCTGACTTGGATGTAAGGTCCACTTCATGAGACGACAGCCATTCCTGACACTGAGGAAGTAGACAAGAACCTGCTACCAAATAGGTTCCAGGCCTGGGGAGATGTAATGTTATTATTCTGCTAAAGAAACAGCAATAAAATGACTCCTGATGGCATACTGCTATCAACATAGAGCAGGGTCTCTCAGCTCTCATCAGAGAACACAGAGGGAGAGTGGAGAGAGTCTTTGAAGCACTCAGTGCTAAATAGGATGTCTTCACCAAAGTCCTCCCTTCACCGCTCAGGAATCAGTACAGACGAGAAGGTGGAAAGACTGTAAGAGACTCCAATAACACAGGGTCTTCCGGACACAACAGCACTGATGTGCATATGAACTCACAAAGACCATATGCACAAGGACTGCACAGGTTCAAGTGGACGCGAGCTCTTACGCTGACCAGGATGCTAACTGCAGCAGATACCCACGAGCAAAGGGAAGATCAGCTTTCTCCACTGGAGTGTCACTGGATATAGTAACCTCAGGGAAGGCTCCAAACTCAAGAGCAGCTGGCCAACAGAAAACTAACTCAACAGTACTTTTATAGACTTTTTTTTTGTCTCATTTTGCTTTGTTTGGGCATCTTTTTGTCTTATCTGGCCTTTAGCTTGTTTGTTTTGGTTTTCTTTTTTGTGAGAATTGTGTGTGTTTCTTATTTGCTATTATTTCTGGTCTGTTTTTTTTTTTAAGAGAAAAAGAACATAAAGTTGGGTGGGTAGAGAGATGGGGAGACCTGGGAAGAACTGAAGAAGGGGAAAACAAGATCAAAATATATTGTATGAATTTTTTCAATAAATAAAAAATGTTTTTAAAAGAGTTTAAAGGCATTAATGAATAGTTATGGACAGAACCATTTTAGAAAACCACAGAGAAAATTATTAATATTAAAACAACTGAAAAATGGATATGAGATAAATAATAGTGTTACATTAATGTTAAGCATTCTGAATCTGATAAATATATTGTGGTTATGTAAGAGAACATCCTTGCTCATAGGAAAGACATGATTTAGAATTAGATACTACGACTTATTTTAAATGGGTCAGTAAGAGTATGGACAACAATGTGCATTTATCTATGTATGTTCCACATATGTAAGAGACAAATACACTGTTCTGACAACTTCTAAGTTTACTTTTTTCTAAAGAAAATGTCTAAAAATAATGCTTTATATGTTTTGTGCAACAGACATGTGAATTACCTTTAAAGGATCCACAAGTTCCAAAGTATGCTTCAAGTAGATCAAATTTGTTATCTTTGATTCAGCTGCATTAACCTGTCAAGATAAAAGACAAATGTGAACAGCCTTCATTTCAATACAGCGATAGGTTTTTCTCTTGGTCATCTCCTACCAACAATATCCCATAGCTGTGTTAGATCAGTCAAACTGGGATGTCAGCCCACAGGGCAGTTAGAAATGACTGGCCACACTGTAAACCCAGCACATTGGCCTCCTGAATCTGGTGAGAGGTCACACCACCACTGTACCACCCTCACTCTACTGCAGCAACTCTGGTGCAGTTTAGACTGCAGTAGCCGCAGCATCAACAGCCAGCAGCATCAGGAGACTGACATGAACTGAATGAGGGGACAAAGCTTCCTGTAAACAGGCTCAAGCTCAGCTTCCCAGTTGACTCAGAACAACATCCCCCATTGGTTCCTGTTGGGCAAGAAAATAATTTTACCAATTTCAACATTATTAATCTCAAATTATATTATAGATTTTTTCTATAATATAGAAATATATAAAATATAGCATATAAAATGTTATAGCTAAACTTCACAGAAATTAAACTATACTCTCTAGAGCTGAGCAACAGCACGGGCAGATTTAACACCGACAGGACACAGGTTTAGGATGTCACAATCATGATGCACCGAACTTTATGTGCAACTGTTCATTTCTGAGGTGCCCTCACCTGAATTCTCATTACAAAGGACCTGGATTGTAAACAGAAGGCCCAGTGTGCAAGAAACATCATGAATGTCTTTAGTTCCTAAGATGTAGTCTCATATTCTCTTACAGTGGATTCCTGACACTAACCCGAAGATCAAAAATAAGTAAACCAAAACCAAATAAAGCATCGTTACTATCGGTGGAGGGGAGGAGGGCAGAAGACGAGAGGCAAAGTGCAGCTGGCACAGTGGGAGTCTAGAAATGGAGTGAGTCCAGCACATACAACACTGGACTCATGGCCAAATTCAGTGCAGTTCAACAGGAAAAGAACGCACAATTATGAATCCATCTGGGTAAAGAATCATGACCCGTTCTCGGTCCTACATACACAAATTAATGAAGACAGTTTTACAGACCTAAATAAAAAATAAAGTTATAAAACATTTGGAGTGTGTTAAGAATCCTCTGTGACGGGCAACTAATGCTGCATCTGCCAGTCGTACAACCGAACTAACAGTGCAAGCTGTCGCGTCTCCTCCACAGCCTGGCTGTCACCAGCCTCGGCGTCGACCTCACAGAGATGCCCACTTCAAGGACTTGCTGGCACTTAAGTCACAGGCTCTATCCTGCTCGCCTTTCCCCTGGCTCCTCTCCACACTCCTGCTACCTCTGTGTGGCCCTGACTTGACTACCCTCTCCTGTAATAATGAAATCTTCGGCCCTGGTGTCTCTGCAGCAACAGCTAGTCAAAATTATGGGCTCTAGCTAAGGCATTATTCATAGTGTGAACAATTCCGCCACTAATTATCCATTTTAGAAAATAAGGGTTTTTGTCCAATGACTTCCACTTCCATCATTACAATGTTCAGGGTGGGGCCAGCAAACAATAGAACAAATGAAACAGGAAAGATGGAAGTAGAGAAATCAATGGTATCTAAAGGTGGTCCTAGTCTTGGTGTCTATCGTAGAACAGACAAAGAAATTGAAACAGAAGTGGAATTTTATTCAGCTGTGATAAGTGAAATTTGCAGGAAAATCGATGAAACTGGAGATTATGTTAAGCATTTCTATATAAAGAATATATTATGAACTAACAGAACTTTGTTATGTATTAGGTAAACAGTATAGGTTATAAGTTTGTTGACAAATATTCAAATTATATATTTAAGAAAATATTTGTTCAGTTTAAATATGCTAATTCTTCAACTACCTAAGATGCCTTTTTACTGTACTTATAAGCAAAAGTTTTAAAAGTTGCCCCCTAAGGCATAAAGCTGTTCCGGGTATCAGTGAGGATACTCTGCCAGGACGTTTGTCCACAGCACAAGCTGTGTCTCACACTAGGGCACAGTGCACGCGCTGTGCAGCACACAAGGACACAGCGCACGCGCCGTGCAGCACACAATGA